TCAAACTGTGGTCCTGGGCGTTGCTTAGCAACTTGTTAGAAATGTAGAATCTCAAGGTTCATCCCCAACCTCACAAACAAGAGTCTGCATTTTAACTACATTCCCAAGAGATTCATTGAGTCTTGAGAAATGCTTCTTAGATGGTGCATTCCACAGTGATTGGAATAAGAAATTGTTCTGCGAGGGTAGTAAATGGCAGGTTATACTGTGTTGCTATATTTTATAGACTGATTTTTCCAAGGTGTTTGTTATTAAAGAGATGGAGAGAGGAGAGTAAACTTGAAAGTTAGATGTGTGGATAGATATTATTTTTGGTCAGGGTCAGTAAGGAAATTGGGAAAGAAGTATCTGGCATCTTTGTCAGCACATGAGGAAGATCCTGTGGATGGAGGAAAGGAAGAGAACACCAAGAGTGTCCATTTATTGAGCAAGTTTCTGGTGAAAGTTGGAACAGGTTGAGTCGAAGGCACTGGTGCAAGACTGAGAAGGAGCTGCTTTAGAGAATCAAGATCTCAGGCAGGGAGACGTGGACTAGAGCAGATTGGTTGGGTAGAAAAGAGAGAGTGAACAGGGTGTTGGCTTTCATTTCAGAACAAAAGACAAAGCATCTAAGTGTAGAACAGCTATGCAAAAAAAAAAAAAAAAAAGTGTGCCTGCCAGACTAGCCAAGATCATTTATTTTGACTATTCATGAAACCAATAAGTTGCTTTGTACCACAATTAAAGAGCCAACATGTGCAAACAGAATAAGGACTCTGATGGTGGGGAATTGGAGATAGGAGAGTGGAAGGTCATGATGTGAAGGATCCTAGGATGCTAAGAAAGCACTCTGGTGCCAGAGCTGCCCTGGCTACGGATGGATGGAATAACTGATTGGGAGAAATGGGGTGTGGGTCTGGGAGAGAAACATGGAAATACCACAAGTGCAGGATGTATTCTTTCTGATGTGAAAGTCCATAAAACATTCTGTACATAGAACTGTAGTGTTGGTGAGCCAGATTCTAAACTCATTAGAGAAAACTGCTTTACCTTTGACATTAATAGAAAATGAATATCCAAATTCCATGACCATTTGAGGAAAAAGTCTATTAATAGGTGATAGGATGTTTCTGCAGTAACTTATTTTAATGATTAGTAATGACAGTATTCATCTTTCTAGCACCAACGGTAGAATCACGTTAGCAGTTTACTTAATAATTTAAAGTTTAAGACTTTACAAAATAGTTTGTGTTATATTTTTATTGTACCCAAATTTTGCAAAAATCAGTTTTCTGATTTTAAACTGAATTTAAATTGTAAACTGATTTTTCTGATTTTAAATTCTGTTAAATTAATTTTTTTAAATTTATTTATTTATTTATGGCTGTGTTGGGTCTTTGTTGCTGTGCCCAGGCTTTCCCTAGTTGCCATGAGTGGGGGCTACTCTTTATTGCGGTGTGCGGGCTTCTCATTGCAGTGGCTTCTCTTGTTGCGGAGCACGGCCTCTAGGCATGTTGGCTTCAGTAGTTTTGGCTCACGGGCTCTAGAATGCAGGCTCAGTAGTTGTGGCTCACGGGCTTAGTTGTTAAGTGGCATGTGGGATCTTCCCAGTCCAGGGCTCGAACGTGTGTCCACTGCATTGGCAGGCGGGTTCTTAACCACTGCGCCACCAGGGAAGCCCTTAAATTAGTTTTAATGTTTCAGAATGTTTCCTAGGGAATTCACTCTTCTGCTACTCCACTGTCATAACAGTTTTGTTCCCTTCTTCATCTGCTTAGATATCATGCTTCCCCCAGTCCTTCTCAGAATCAGCCTGTATCCTCACCTTCCACACCATGAGGAAATAAAATGCATCTGATGGGAACTGCATCCCCTTCTCTATTAAATCTTCCTGTGCTCACTCCTATTTTCCTTTCCTTCCCTCTTACCAAAATGCAGAGAATGTCTCTCCCTGCCTCATAAAGCAAAATTTGTGCATTTAGTTTGTTGCCCCACACCTCTTACCCTTTCAGGGAGCTCTTTCTATCCTTCACCTACTCTCTCCTGCATCATCAACCTCTCCCCTTCTCTTTCATACTTTCCATCACCACCAGGCTTCAGTATCTCTAACATGACAAGTGAAGAAAAGTTCTCCAGGGCCCCACTCGCCTTTGAGGCACCACCATTTCTCTGTACTCCTATTCAGAGCCAGACTCGTCCCACCTCCACTGCTTACTTTCCATAAACCCTAGTCTGGCGTGTGCACTGTCCCTCCATCAAAACTACTCCTGCCAAGTGGAAAGGTGTAAGGGGACAAACCCAGGGGCGTTTTCATTGCTGATCTTGCTTGATGTCCTGGCAGTATTCCACATGCTCTCCCCAAACATGCATGCTCTCCCATGGTTTTCCTCCTATGTCCCTAGATGATGTTCTTAGCATCCTGTGTTAGCTTTTTTTTTCCTTCAACACAACCTCTTAATGTTGGGGCATCTCAGATCATCTTGCTAGCCCTTAGCCTTTCCCACTCACTCTTAGTAGGTTAGTGGAACTACAGATGTGATCAGTTGACGACACCCAAGCTCTAGCTCTGGTCCAGACTTGCCATTATATGACCCCTAGCCCCATTTATCCAACTGCCTATTGAATATGCCTCAATGTGGCGGTCTCTGACACAGCTTAAACTTACCTTTATCCCCACCATGGCTTTGAAACCCTCAGTTATGTTTTTCTTTTTCAAGTCGCACCCACCTCCCATCCAGATGTAGGATTAAGCATATATAGTCCTCAATTTTACTTATTGTCCTTTGACTTTTCGTTTTTTCATCTTATTCTTTCAAATGCTGAATTATACCACCTACTTTCCTTTCGACAGTGAACATCTCTGTTACGAATTAATTCTATTAATAACCAACAAATACTTTCATGGAGCAATCTTGTTTGTGTCCTGTTACCTAATATAAATATTTTTAGATCACATATTTTCAATTAGTGATGATATCCTCTGCATTTACAGGATCTACTGACCATATTCCAGAGGACATTGTATCCTTAGTTTTATCTGTCCTTTACCAACATGTATTTCCAGAGTTTAGTTTTAATCTTATCTATTTCTACTAGCTGTAAACAATGTGAGATATTGATGCGTCTGTCCTTTTTAATTTTGATAGACCACTGTTTTTACTTTGATATGTAATTTACCTGTATAGCGTTCTTCTAAATATCCATATTTTATTTATATAATCAATAAAGCAAAAGCTTATTAATTAAACAGATTAGATTTCTATCGGCATTTAAATGTCGATTGCACACCTGATCAATTTTTCTCTAATTCAAACCACAGTCTGCTGTATCTGATTTTCTTAAATGCTTTAAGTGCTGTATGAAGCAGACACAATACACACATACTATTAAACCTGTTGAAAATTGGATTGGTTCACTTAGGCTAATCAGGTCCAAAGTGCTAATAAATTTAAGGGTGTTTCTTTACTTTTATATTCTTATTCCCTCTTACTCATTTTTAGGGTTGTCTCTCTTGTTTTCATCAATTTCACCAACTGTGCGTGTGTCCAGTGTTTCAATGATCCTACACACTCTAAAGATGAGCATTCTAGCTGCCCACAGTTGAAAGATTTGATTTATCAACCAGTTTATTCCCGGTGTAGGTCATGAGGATTGTTTGCGTCTTCCAAGGTGATTTTACCTGACTTGCTGACTCAACAAGAGAGGCCCTCCTTTTAGAGGTCACTATTGTCCTTTATATAAGGAACTGTCCAAATCACTGTTCCCAATAGTTGGTCAGTTGTATTTTCTGGTAACCCCAGCTTTTATCCCAAGCTGTCACTTGATCTGGACATCTCAGCTTTTTAGTACAATTCATTAACACCTTAATTTAGTACCACTTTCCCTTCGTTATACAAACTGGAGTAAGCCTTCTTCGCCATTGCTTGTTCTGAGGGGGACCTAGTCAAGCCCATTTACGTCGGAAAGTTTAGGTCAGTGGTGCTCTTCGAAATTAGTGTTCTCGCCCATCTGCAATTTAGTCCTGGGTATTGACTTCTGTGATTACTGACCATTATTATGATGAGATTATCATCCTTGGTGTTTGGTCCCTTAGACTAGTACATGCTTACAGTTATCCCTGATGCATACGTACGGAACACATGTCCTGCACCGTTTAAGCTGAAGTACTGCCAGTTCTGTCCCCAGGAGTCTGTCCAAATTCTTGGATGGTGGTAAGAAATAAATTATGAAGTTGCTTTTCACTGCCATCTGCCTAGCTCGAGAAATAGTATCTGAACACCCTCACAGACTATCACCAGCTGTGACTTTAGAACCAGACTGGTCCCTTAGAAATAAAAACAGGTGTTTTACATACCATAAATATAGTTACACAGATGGAATGTTTAGGATAGAGAAAAATACTCCTTACCTACTTATTTTAGTTCCCATTATTTTTCTTGTTCTTCCTGAATAATCTACGGCCATCAGTAGAAGGTTGTTTTTGGGAGAACAGGCATGAAAAAGGGAAACAAATTTTTATTTATGGCTTATGAAAATGCAGAAAATCGATGAATACAGAATGATACAAAGCAGAATTGATGGCTATAGAATAATGCAAGGTACTGAATTAACTACACATAGGTATTGACACCTGTAGTACCCTTAGTTTTGTACTGGCTAATGTCTTTTGACCGTGGTGGTGTTTTTATAAATGATGTATCTTCATACTCTTGATGAATACTCTTAAAGTTCTGTTCACGTTCTGTACATTTTCCATATCTTCTTACCTCTTATAACACCAGATAATCTGCAACAATATTCATAAAAATACTGTAGTCCTAAAATTTTGCAGAGGTAAATGTCACTTATTTTTACATCCCCCTTCTACATGCAGAGCATTTCCAAACTGTTATCACGTGGGCTGAAGTATTTCCCCCTCAGGGTTATTTTGAAGATAGAGAAGTTTCCGAGCCTGACAACATGCGACATGTTAGTTTCAGGTGCGTTTACTTCCTTCACCCAAGCCAGAAGACTTAGTAAAAGAAAAAAAAAAAAATACAGGAAAAGCTTTGAGGCTCTCAAGCTACAAGTTTTGCAGTGGATGGCTGCCTTCTACACAATGGATTCTGGGGGTTTTTAGAATGTTCACATCTGACAGAAAACCTTACTTGAAAATATGCCTGGTGTTTTCATTCAGAATGGTATAGGCACATTGGAAAACAAGTGTATGTACATTAAAGAACAAACAAAAAGTCTTCAAATAGCCCCAATATCCATATATTAGGAATATTCATTATTATCTGTTAGGCATGATTGTTTCTTTGAGTGCAGAAACATGGACACAAAAGTACATCTTTATTTTTTTAGCACAAAAATAGATTTGGTTCATACTTTCTATAGAATGTATATTCTCCTGCAACTTTAATTTTTTTCCCTGTTCAGTACCCTTTCAAAGAAATCTTTTTTTAAGTTTTATACTTAGTTTACAACGTGTTAATTTTTGCTCTACAGCCTAGTGATTCAGTTATATACATACATTCTTTTTCATATTCTTTTCCGTTATGATTTATTACAGGATACTGAATATAGTTCCCTGTTCTATACAGTAGGATCTTGTTGCTTGTCCATTCTATATATACTGGCTTGCATCTGCTAATCCCACACTCCCAGTCCTTCCCTGCCCCCCCTCCCCCTGACAACCACAAGTCTGTTCTCTATGTCTGTGAGTCTGTTTCTGTGTTGTAGATGAGTTCATTTGTGTCATATTTTGGACTCCACATATAAGTAACATCATATGGTATTTGCTTCTTTCTGACTTAGTTCGCTTACTATGATAATCCCTAGGTCCATCCATGTTGATGCAAATGGCATTAATTCATTCTTTTTTATAGCTGAGTAATATTCCATTGCATATATGTACCACGTCTTCTTTATCCATGGATCCATTGATGGACCTTTAGGTTGCTTCCATGTCCTGGCTATTGTGAATAGGGCTGCTATGAACATAGGGGTGCATTTATCTTTTTGAATTAGAGTATTGTCTGGATATATGCCCAGGAGTGAGATTGCTGGATGATATGGTAGTTTTATTTTTAGTTTTTTTGAGGAACCTCCATACTGTTCTCCATAGTGGCTGCACCAACTTACATTCCCACCAACAGTGCAGGAGGGTTCCCTTTTCTGCACACCCTCTCCAGCATTTGTTATTTGTAGACTTTTTGATAATGGCCATTGTGACTGGTGTGAGGTGATAACCTCGTCGTAGTTTGTTTTGATTTGCATTTCTTTAATAATTAGCGATGTTCAGCATCTTTTCATGTGCCGCTTGGCCATCTGTATGTGTTCTCTGGAGAAATGTCTATTTAGGTCTTCTGCGCATTTTTTGATTGGGTTGTTTTTGTTGTTGTTAAAGAAATAATTCTTTTGAATTAACTTGTTAGTTTTAAGTTGCCGTTGTCTGTGTACCCGGACACTGACACTATCATCTCCTACTCGTGGTCCCTTAGAGTCTCTTCAGTCTTTATGCATCTATCACTGCATTCTGCAAATATTTCCACTGGAGAAACCACTACGGGAAGAAGTGCTGGCTCGAAGGGAATACATAATTGAAACTCTGAAAAGTTCTAGGCAAATTCCCCTTCAAAGAAGGTGGTAGGAAGACACACTCTCTAAACAGCTTCTGAGAGCATTTTGCTCCCCACCTTTATTAACAACGGATAGTATCAATCTTTTCAAATTTTGTTGATCATGTAGACCAAAGTAAATGGGATGTGCACCTTGTTTTAATAGAGAGAACATATTAATCTTCTCTTGGGTCTGTGGATCCATTTTGTCCATATTCAGAAACTCACGCAGTAAGAACACCATGTGTTCTTTTGGAATTCCTTAGTAATGTGTTTCTTTGCTTCTTGGTCCTGGTGGGGGAGGTGGAGCATTATTGCTTTATTCCATTATTCCTTTTCCTATTTCCATCGAGAACAAATCCTCTGCTCCGTGGTTTGAAAGGGATGCCTGCCGGGGACAGACTCGCACTACCTCTTTCTTACTTCTCCTTTCACATCTGTCTCAGACAACTTTTCTCCAAGGTGATCCCCATGTAGAGGATGTTTGGCGTGGCCCTGGGTTCAGACTCTCATTCATTCCCTTTCTCTCTCAGAAGCTCACCCTGCCTTCAGAGAGAGGCCAGCTCACTCCCTGCCAGCTCCCCCTGCTAAGTCCACACACAGGAGGCCCACCTCCTTCTGGTTCTCTTTGCGTGAAAGACGTCACAAAGACCATGATCTTGCACGTGTCCAGCTTTGGCAGCTACGTCTGGAACTTGCTCTGCTGGCTCCGGCTTTTCCAAAGGCGGATTCTAACGTTGGAATGGGGTCGGGGTGCTTGGGAGGTGAGAAGATTCTTCAAGGCTAATTCATCCTCGAATACATAAGACATCCTACAGTTTGGAGACACAGACTTCATGCCGATCCTCACATGAGTTCCTTTGTGTGAGCTTTAGCATACGTCTCCTGTCCTCTTAATTACTAACACCCCCTGGTCCTCAAAGTATTTGAGCCAAATATTGTGCTCATACATGATTAATCTGATTTGTGAAATTTTACCGTATTGGATCTCTTTGTACCCAAAGGGTATCCAACTGGAGGACAGTTGCTACATTGATTCAGATTGTGTATATATAACCAAAAATCATAAGCATGATGTGATATTTGAATTAATATTTCTAATTTTAGATATATTTCTAACATGAGATCAGAAAGAATACTTTTTTACATGACAGAGGGAATTTGCCAGTTTCCCAAAAGGTGCCTAAAATCTGAAGACAACCTTTTTTTTTTTTTTTGCGGTACGCGGGCCTCTCACTGCTGTGGCCTCTCCCGTTGCGGCGCACAGGCTCAGCGGCCACGGCTCACGGGCCCAGCCGCTCCGCGGCATGCGGGATCCTCCCGGACCGGGGCACGAACCCGCGTCCCCTGCACTGGCAGGTGGACTCCCAACCACTGCGCCAGCAGGGAAGCCCTGAAGACAACCTTTTGATAAGAATGTTAAATTTCCGTGTAAACAGATATTTCTCCTGGAGCTGGCTCATCTCACAGTAAGTGTGCTATGCATTCTACATAACACTAAAACGTCTCTATCATTCAGAAGGAAGGCGATGTCATGTTTTTACAAACAGGCTCTGTCAATATGCGTTTAAGTACTGATCAGTCAACATTACACAAGTGACCGGCCTGACAATTTGGTATTTGTTTAGGGTCCCTGTAAAATTACTCACAGAAAATTACTCACAGAATTGGGAAGCAGTGCCATGCCCAAGAAGACAATAAATCCAGTTTCTCTGCTAATTTAAATCTTATTCCAAGTGCAGGTAGGATCTGAAGAGGAAGAAATGCAAATGAGATGTTCATAGAACATTCCAGTATTCATTCATTCACTATACATTGATTCCATGCCGAGGTCACAGTGCTTCTCCAAGTACAACATACAAGCATGTGGAATACTTTTTGGATGCAAAATTTAAGACCGTGTGGAAAAACAGTTTGAGGAACCAAGGTAACAAGTAAATCACTGACATCTCAGATGGTTACAATCTTTCATTAAAATAAAACAAGCCACCTTACTGCCTGCAGGGCATGTTAATGCTATTAACGTAGAAATCAGGGGAATTCTGTCATTGATTACCATTTTCCATCTCTTGCTCAGGCGATCTGTTCTTCCTTGGGCTTCAAGTTAATGCTTAGAAGTTGCATCCTTTATGGTAAAGGAGGGCCATAATTTTTCTGTCTTTTCCTTGAGCCAGGTGTTCTTGGTCTTTCTGAGTTTAAGACTTGCAGTTATTACGCTTCGTCTGCTGGTTCCTACTACTGTCCCAGAAGAAATCTGTGCGTGCTTAAAAAGGACAAACAACCAAGTGCAGACTGTTTTTAACCGACTCAGCCTGCAATTCCAATTTGTCTGATAGCCTTAGCTCTGCCCATGCTAATTTTGTGCTGACGCACACATGCTCGGTTCCCCTTATTTGTGGGGTTCTTTCTTGGCCACTTGGCTTGTGGGATTTTAGTTCCCCGACCGGGGACTGAACCTGCACCCTCGGCAGTGAAAGCGCGGAGTCCTAAGCACTGGACCGCCAGGGAAGTCCCTCGGTCCCCCTTATTTGGATGTGAGCTTTCTCCCTCCTAACAGACACAGGAAGACAGTTAAAAGACCTGGATTTGCTTTCTCTCAGCATCTCCTTTCCCAAGGTCTATTCTAAAAGTCCACTTGTATTTAGGCTTCTTTTCTTTTTTTCCCCCTTATACCCCTCCTCAGGATTTTTAAGCACCTGGTTTGCTTGGCTGTTACTGGGGTTAATGCCTCATTAACCCTGGTAAGAGTGACACTCACCTGCATTGACATTTTCCTCATTGTTAAAAAGGCATACAGAGATTAATTCATATGGGCTAGAATAGTTTTCCAAAAAAAGGGTAGCTTCAAATGAAGGATGGGTCACTCCATGTGCAATATGCACTGTGCCACGTGTAGCAGGGTGAGAAGGGGTACCCAAATGGTGGTACACAGCTCCAGTATTCAAGGAGGTGATGGCTATATTACAAAGAACCCTGGGATACCAGTTGGCATGTAGAAGATAAGTCTTGAGAAAAGAAAGCAGCGAGAACTTGTGTGTGTGTATGTGTGTGTGTGTAGGAATGTTTTGTGGGCTAGCCTGGCTGGTGAAGAAGTAGGGAAGGAGAAGAAGCAAGAGGACCTCTCTGGCCAGAAGGAACAGGTTGTACAAAGATATCTGGAAGCAGAGCCCATGCTAATGTGTAATTCGTTTATCTGAAGCGTCTTCTAAATACAGGATGGTGAACCGCAGGAGATAAGACTAGGGCATGTTCTGGAAATAAACTTGTGCTGGCCTGGCCGGCCTGAGAAGCGTGTGATGGCTCCCTGAACAGTGGAAAGACATCGATGATTCTTGAGTGTGGAAGGAGGAAGGCATCACAGTTACATTTCAGGAGGGTAAGTCTGAAATCACTGAGTGGGAACGATACAAGACTTAAGGAACCAGTTGTAGAGATGATAATTCCGTGAGAGGATTTGAGGGTCTGAATTAAAGTAATGGTGGAGAACAGATATCACTGAATGTCCTTTTAAAGGCTTCTTAGGAGCATGCAAGAGCTGTAATGACCCTACGGATCCATCCACAAAGGGATGGATAAAGAAGATGTGGTATATATGCACAATGGAATACTACCCAGCCATGAAAAAGAATGAAATAACACCATTTGCCGGAACACGGATTGACCTTGAGATTATCATACTAAGTAAGCCAGACAGAGAAAGACAAGTATCTCATGATATCACTTACATGCAGAATCTAAGAAAAATGATACAAATGAACTTATTTACAAAACAGAAACAGACTCACAGACATAGAAAACAAACTTATGGTTACCAAAGGGGAAGAGGTGGGGAGGGGTAAATTAGCAGTTTGGGATTAACAAATATACACTATTATATATAAAATAGTCAACAAGGACTTACTGTGTAGCACAGGGAACTCCACTCAATACTCTGTAATAACCTATATATGGGAAAAAATTCTGAAAAACAATTGATACATGTATATGTATAACTAAATCACTTTGCTGTACACCTGAAATTAACAAAACATTGTAAATCAAGTATACTCCATTATAAAATAAAACTTTTTTCTAATAACTAAAAAAAAAAAAAAAGACTCTATGGAATTGCCGGACTAGTCATTTTGGGGAAGAGCCAAAACCCAGAGAAATCAGGTGAGTGTTGGAGCTTTGAAGCTGCTTTGGCTCAAGTGATGATGGGCTATGGCCACTCATTTGGGTTTGGGTTTCAGTGGCGCCTTCACCCTACCCTTGGGGCCTGGAGTCTCTAAGTTCGAGCCTAAGGTAGATGCAAATCAGAACTGAACCAGCCAAACCCCACTCCAACCTCAGCACCGCACAGAAGGCTGCTTTGGGCCAGAGCAGAGGAAAAGAGGAGGACACGATAAACAACAACAGCCATGCGTCTTTGGGAAATGGGTCTGGGTGGGGTAGATTTGCTTTTGTACAACTGCAAAGTGGGTACTGTTGGCACCCGGCTGAAAATAACCCAGTTGGGAGCTAGGGGAGAAAGGTTATATTTAGGCTGTGTTGCCATGGATAGAACTGAGGGAGGGGTGAGATTTCTGAAGGACTGGGGGGGGATGCACTCACCAGGAGAGGACCAGACCCAAAGATGCAACAGGAGGGGCAGAGATGAAGGATAAGGAGACAGGGCGTGTCACCTTCTCCCAGAACCAGGTTCACGTGCAAGGGGTGTATTCAAGTGAAGTGCCCTCAGGAGGAACCAAGAGTGGACAGAGGGAGACCGGGAGGGCAAGGAGTCAGGTAGCTCTGTTAACTACCGGTGGAGCTGTCGGAAGGAGCCCGCCGCTCCTGGGGCACAGGCAGAGAGCCCGGCTTCAAGGATCCGGGAAGTTCAGCAATGTCAGCTTTACCATAAGAGAGGCAGCAGGAAAGTCGCTCAGGCTCATGCGGTTCCCATCGAGGAGGGAACAGAGAAGCAGCTGAACCCTCGGAGGCCAGGCGGAGATCAAGAAGTCCAGGAGGAGTGCAGGTTCACAAGTGACCCCAGAGAGCCGTTTCAGGAAAGCCATGGGACAAGGAAGAGGGTTTTAAAGGAGGAGAAATGAAAGGGTAAGAATTGAATAGATACAGCAAGAGGAAACTCCCACTTGGGTTGTTCAGCCATGAAATACGGTGGCAGGAAGTTCTGTCTTGAGGGGATATTTTGGGAAGCATTGTTGTCCCCGAAGTGCAGCTGAATACATGTATAGTCAAAGAAGACATAATAACTTACATTTGTAGAAAGCTACCATCACATTGCGAGTGGAAATCATTCTTATTACGTGGCATGCCGTAAGAGCTCATCACGTCTTGTCCGCTCCAGGAGCTGGAGTATTGGCACCGTGCAGATGAAGCATGCTTCTGTTCTGGGGAATTCTGTCTGAAAAATTCCGGGGAGGGCTCTTTACACCCAGAACGTTGTGGAATCCATAAAACAACAACAGGAAATGACTCTGCACATACTTTGGATTTGCAACTGGGTTATCTGTACTTTTAACTTCAGCATAAAATCCATGAAGGATCTAAGATTTTTATGTTTACAGAGTATATTCTGTTCTCCCATTATCTTCCTTTCTCCCTCCATCCCTTTCTATTTCCATTCTCCCTCGTTCCAGAACAATGGGAACAAGTTACCCTTGGGTGCCCAAAGGCAACCCCAAAGACAGTGCGTGTGTCTCTAAGCCCACAATGAGCTGGAAGGGAGACGGCCCAGCCTGCAGGGGCTGCAACGTGCCTACTGGCCACTGCAGCCCAAGATGTTCCTCACTTCATGGCTCTACTACAACTGGATGAAATCTTCAGAGAAAATAAGCACGAAACCCCCAAAACTAGACACCCGAGAGTCTTAGAACACACTTACGTGAGAGCCCCTCACGGCCCTCTGAGGCAGCCGGACTCTGAGCCCCCATGTCTGCATGCAGGTTGGAGCCCTGGCACCCAGGAAGGCTGAATTCCTGCCTCACCCCTGCTCTCCAGCAATGGGGAGTTTCTCTGCTGCTGGGAACCCCCAGCAGTAGCTGCCTTCTGTTTCCAAACCTGCCAGCCCTTATTGCACCATCTCACGGATAACCACGTTAGATCTCAGATACTGTGGGGGCTTCTGCTCCTGGCCCTTGAGCTTTGCAACGACTAGCTTCCGACTGAGGTTAGCACTCCCGTCCCTACACCCTTGGAGACTGGATTTAATAACCGTCGCACCCTCATTTTGCTCCCACCCTCAACCCTCTGGCTTACCTGGGTAGCGTGTCCCGCAGCTGCCCTCATTCCTCCATTTCCTCTTGAAGCCTGTGAGCTCCTTCACCACGGATGTCTTCCCGTGTGTTAGAACACGTCATTTCAATCCCCAGAACATCCCACTGAAAAGTAAGCAGAGCCTAACAACAGTTTAAATGTGGGCATTGCTTTTGCCCTTTCAATCGACAGTATGCCTCGATTCTGTAGTTTTCCCCAGATTATAAATTGCAAAGCAATCACAGGATCTGTTATGTTTCTTACTTATTTCTCTTGCATACAATGGTCATTAGATGAGTTTCTAACCCAATTTGGAGGCAGGACACTGGGTAAAAGTGAAAGATTTCTATTATTTGTAAAATTAATCCATAAAATTCCATCTGATACAAAGCTGAGTAACTCGCATAGGTTTAAACATATTGTTAATGAAATCACATGTTTTATCCACCCAGATAAAGCACGAGCAGACTGATTTTGATTTTGTTTCTATCCATTTATTCACAAAGTATTTACTCAAGCTGATAAGCTCTGAGTACGCTAAGCAAGCTGGACAAGCTTCCTGTTCTTAGGGAATTTACATCTTCTGGGAAGTGAGAGTAGGAAGCTATCGGATGATAAGAAATATGAGAAAAGGAAAACAACTCTCCCCAAGAGCAGAATCAAAAGAAACAATGTCATGTCTCCAAAACAGTGGTTCGTTCTCACCTGGGGCAGCGTTGCCCACGACGGGACAGTCAACAATGTCTGGGTCGTTGTGGGGGTATCACCTGCAGGGGCGTGGGGTGGGGCTGCTACTGCATCCAGCGGACGGAGGTCAGGGGTACTGCTCCCCATCCTGCAACGCACAGGGAGGCCCTCCACAAAGAAGTATCTGGACACAAGTGGCGGTGGGGCTGAGGTTAAGAAACCCTGCTCTCACGCTAGAGTTATAATGCACGTATAATTTCCTTTTATGCTTATCTGCTCTCACTGATAGACACATAAAAGACCTTGTCACTGCTTCGGAATGCCAGTAGTGTTTTTAAGATTAAAAATTGCAATTTTTTTTCCTCAAAAGAAAAGGAGTATACCTTTAAGATTTTTTTTTTCCTTACCGTATATAATAGTCCAGTGTCCTTTCATGAAGTGTGTTCTGGAGCAAGAGATGTGACTTTCAAAGTCTCACAGTAATGACCACCACCATCATTTATCTGGAGCTAGACAATCCAAGACTCTAGTTTTTAGAAATGCTCTTGTCAATCTGAATTTGTGACTTCTGAAAGTGGGAGAAACTCTGGGAAGGTTCCAGGCTCTCTACTACATAGGAATCTTTAATCCAGCATAACTGGACCCTCCTGTCAGTTGCAGGCGCATCTGTGTAGTCAGATGAGCAAATTATCAGAGCAGGTGCATCAAGAGAAACGTTGCTTTCTTGAAGGTACTGCCAAACATACATTCTGGACTCGTGACTCCCTGCAAAATAGAATTAAATATACTAAATCTCCAGGATATAGACTGCCGCTGACTCGTATTCGTTTGTGTTAGATTGCCAGTGAAGTCATGAAATTTACCTAGCACCCCAGAGAGTGTTTCTGTCATTCAGGGGGTCTCCTTTAAGGCTCCCTCAACTATATTTACTTCCCTCACCTCCTTCCCTTTCCCCACCAACACCGCCTGCACCCAGCTCTGCAGTTACATCGTCTTTGTCCTCCTAAGCTGCCTTCTTTTTTCTTTTTTTCTTTTTCTTTTTTTAACGGACAAGAGGCTGCAGCTAGTGCTATGTCTCAAAAGATCAACTCACTGCAGTGCTGTATATTCATAATGGTTGTACGTTTCCCTCTATCCCTTTTATATCTTTAATTACCTTTAAGCGTTTCAGGAATCCATTGTGTATCGTAATCAAACACCACCTTCCCTTGTGCATCTATTCCTGTTTTAAATCTAGATTTCTAAAATGACTGTGCTATTTTTATCTGTTTAACTCCATCCTCTCTAGTTTTCCTAGAGGAAGCGGGAGCTTTAAGTGGTCGGTCTGAGAATCCCTGCAAACCGTACAATGAAGTGAGTCGCCCAGTTAATCATATTTATTCTCTGACAGAAAACAAGAGAGAAGACAGACACAAAAGCCCGGACTTTATAGAAAGACGAACCCAAATTCGAATCCTCTCTTAGCTTGTAAATCACTTAATCTGCTGAACCAAAATGTGTTCATCTGTCAAATGAATACAGGACTTATTTTGAAGTTGTTATGAGGATGACAAACATGGGGAAGGATGGCAGCCCAACAAACTTATTTCCTTTCCTGGAAAAATAATAAATGCAGGCTCCCCTTCAAAGGGGAACACCAACCAGGGCAGACATGGTTTCCTTTTCCTTTCATCCTAAAATACCTATCAGTGCCTTTGTCGATTTTTCGATCAAAAATGCCATCTGGACATTTGGGGATCAAAATGCCAATCAGCTTTTTCTCTACTGCAGAAATTAATTACCTACACAGACCTCACTCTTGAAGTCACCTTGACATAAGGAGGATGGGAGAAGAATTGAACCCCAAAACGGTTTAAAATTCCTTTAAGTTTAAGGTTTGTAACGGAAGAGGTTTTTGTGAGCTTGCAAAACTCTGAAGCCTTTGTTTTTAAAAGATATATGCAGAGACAAAAGGCAGGAGGAATTGTCACAGGGAGAAAGCATCCTTACATACATATAAAAGAAGGAGCCATGTTCAAACTTTACTTCAGGAGGAAGATAGATCTGCCCGTAAAATAGTTCCACTCAGTCGCTGTAAGTTTCATCTTTTTCTTACGTGCAAAGTTTCTTACCGAAGTCAGAGAAACTAAAAGTACATTCCCCCCCTTAAAAAATTCTTAAATTTCACAAGAGGAGATTGCATGTTACCTGTGAATCTCCTTCTGTGACATCTAGGTGGGTACGAGCAATGCATACTGAGGAAAATGGCCCTGCATAACCTCCTTGACGTTTGCTTTCCTTCTGGAGCCCTGGGTCGTTGTACCAAACTGCATGGTAACCAACACCAGATGCTAAAACAGAGGCAAAGCCAGGACTCGTATTTGCTCAAGAGAGCACTGTTTCAAAGCTCAGCATCATTGCAACCAATAATATCTTTCCCTATAATGTGAAGGAACAAATCAAGAGAGTTGTGGTCAGTTGTCAGAATTTCAGATCTAGGGCTTCCCTGGTGGCGCAGTGGTTGAGAGTCCGCCTGCCGATGCAGGGGACACGGGTTCGTGCCGCAGTCCGGGAAGATCCCACATGCCGCGGAGCAGCTGGGCCCGTGAGCCATGGCCGCTGAGCCTGCGCGTCCGGAGCCTGTGCTCCGCAGCGGGAGAGGCCACAGCAGTGACAGGCCCACGTACCGCAAAAAAATTTCAGATCTAAATAATGGTATTTCATAATATAGCCACAATAGCATGCTAACAGGAAATAAACGTTGAGTCTTTATAATATCTTAAAATGATAAAAATAGTTTTGACAGGAACTAACATTTTAAAACAAGAAGACTGGAGATACACAGACAAACGCAGAGAAGGGAGTGGTTTACTAAACCCCACATAAAATGAAATCATTGATACATGAGAAAATTCAATGATGCCTAAAAGAAGTCATTATCTAGGAGACTTTCTGCTAACTTCAGAAGTGTGCTTCATTTCATTACTACTACGAACTAAAAGAAAATCATAACATAGAAAGCAAAATAATTAAGCTCTTACCCTTGTATTTCAATCTAACTGTAGCATGGATGTGAGCAAGCAGTGACAACAATGACCAGAACACAGAACGTTTCCAGCGAAACTCTCAAACCTTGAGTTTGCAGAACTGGAATCATGTTGCCTTTTAAAAAGTGGACCGTCTGGGGCTTCCCTGGTGGCGCAGTGGTTGAGAGTCCGCCTGCCGATGCAGGGGACGCGGGTTCGTGTCCCGGTCCGGGAGGATCCTGCGTGCCCTGGAGCGGCTGGGCCCGTGAGCCGTGGCTGCTGGCCCTGCGCGTCCGGAGCCTGTGCTCCGCGGCGGGAGGGGCCACAGCAGTGAGAGGCCTGCATATCACAAAAAAAATAAAAATAAAAAAAAAAGGACCGTCTGAACACAGCATGGAGGGTGTAAAAGAAGTTCCAATAGAGCTGTTTTGTACAAATGGTGACTCCTCCCCCCAGGAGCCATTTCTTGACTTAACCATTACTCCGTGGCTGTGAGAACAGAAGCAGATCAAATCTTGACATCCAGAAGGTCTGCTGGCTTTTAGGCAGATACTGAAATTGTAAGCAAGTGAACCTACTAAGCGCAAATGGATAAACAAGAGAAACGATAGACACGTACAGAGGCTCTCACAGTTCTGGAGTTTGGGGTCTGTCTTGGGCTTCTCGGGGCTGACAATTCATAGGCCAGCAAAGCTGAGGTCCTTTCTGGAGGCCGTATACGAGGACACGTTTCTTGCCTTTTCCAGCTTATACAGGTGGATCACATGTTTTGGTTTGGGGCTTCTTCTGTCTTCAGAATGCCAGCAAAGACCCCACGAATCGCGGGTGTCTCCTCTAACACTGACTCTGCCGCCCACTTCCCCGTGGAGGGACTTTCACAATGCCATGGGTCCACCTGCATAATCCACTCTTCCCCCTATTTAAGCTCTGCTCCCTAGCAGCCTTCCTGCCATCCGCAACTTTAATTCCCCTCTGCTGTCAAAGGGAACATATTCCCAGGTTCTGGGAATTAGGACGTGGACTTCATTGTCGGAAAGGCCATTATTTTTGCCTACAGTAGCAACCATCTAATTCCTTAGATTTCACATATTTGAAACTGAAATGTATAGGGTTTATGTGGTTGATGTTTAAGGAACAAAATGTTTATTTTACTCCTAAAACCACATGATACTGACGGTCTTAAAACGATGCTCTTGTCACCTGCACATGTATATATAATTTTGATCTATATTTCCAATATGATAATGGTTGTTAAATGAATTCTGTGTGCCTTTTGCACACTGTACACTTGAAAACATTGCATGCATTTATTTTTAAACTTCTTAGAGTGCAAGCACTAATATTTACCAATTTGCCAAGTGAAATAATACATAAATGCAACAAAACGAACCGTGTCATAATACATAAATGCAACAAAACGAATCTTCTCTAAGGTGGAATTATATCAGACAGTAAAATGGAAACCATGAACTCATCAGACACTTGAAAGCAGTGTGAATAAAAAGTATCAATATCTTAACCAAAAAATGTGTGTATCAGTGTTTTTACTTATTCGTTCTCTTTTTTAAAAAAAATGTGAGCTCAGGTTATTCATGAGTATTGTTCTCTCTTTTTCATTTTTCTGTATTTTAATAAACTGAGATTGATTTTAAGTAATTCTATCTAGTTTTATCTTTTTTCAAATCTTTTTTGAAATTCATAAAAAATGAATGTTCCAAGTCTTTACCCAATTCATCTGCACAAAAAGAAGGTTTAAAAAACCAGGACTCTTGGATGAAAGCTTGATTTGCTCAAACATTTGATACTAAAATATCTCAAGGACAAAATTCGAAACCACTCATCAATTAAGATAAAATGTCAGTGGAGGTATTATAGTCATGAATATTTATGAGGTGAATGACAAAGCATCCAAATACATTTGAAATGTACTTAACAAAATGTATTTTGAAATGCAAAGATACAGTTTGCATTTCCCAGCCTTTGACAGAATAAGTCAACAGAAATAAATGAAAATGTAGAGAATATGTATATTGTGATCAATAATGTCTGTTAAGGGCTTCCCTGGTGGCACAGTGGTTGACAGTCCGCCTGTCGATGCAGGGGACACGGGTTCGTGCCCCGGTCCGGGAAGATCCCACATGCCGCGGAGCGGCTGGTCCGTGAGCCATGGCCGCTGAGCCTGCGCGTCCGGAGCCTGTGCTCCGCAATGGGAG